CGACTAAACCGCTTCAAATTGGTTATCCTAACATTCGCTAATGAAGAAATATGAGCCAAAGTACGAGTTAGACTCGCATATTACAAGCAAACCTGTCGTCTGAAAACAACGTCTGCCATGATAAAGACTGACACAGCCTTGGAGGCAAGTTCAACGATGTCAGGTGACATCATTTAAGGTGAGCCATTTAGTAATCTTTGGACTCCTTTTCTTCCTCAATTGGTGTTAAATAAACCTTCATGTTGTGGGCTCTACTTTGTTTTGGTTTAGTTTTTTATTATGTTGTACAGTTGGCGGATGTCCGTTTCTGTCACTGCTTCTCAAGAGTTAAAACTGACTTTGAAATATGGAATCAACACCCTGAGCGAACATCACACTTGGAAAAAAAAAAAAAAAAAAAAAAAAAAGGAGTGATACAGAATCATATGTCTTAAATACTCCTGACACACACATTCAGTTTTTACAATCTTTAAAAGTAATGATGACTGCAGTACCTTGTGCTGCCACTCGGTGGCCTCATCCTCCTTCTTCCTCTTGGCATCCTCTAGGAGAGCAATCTTCGCTGTGAACTCGGCCAGCTCGGCGGCCTGGGACAAAAAAAAAAAAAAAAAAAGACCGGCCGTGTTACAGACACCGAGCGCAAACACTAGATGAGTTTCAAACGTGCCAAAAGCCAAAAACAGACCAGTTGCTCTTGGGTCTTCTGCTGGTCTGCCGCCTGCTTGGCCAGCTCCGCCTTGGCCTCTTCAGCTGCTTGTCTCTCCCTCTCCAGCTTCTCGGCCTCCTCTCGCGCCTTCTGTCTTTCCTGCTCCAACTCCATGGCCCGGCGAGTCTGTTCTTCAAGCTCTAGCGGAGGGCACAGACACGGGTCCAAGTTGATTTAAACCGACGGTGCAGTCGCAGCAGACATGATGGACGGAGGGAACAGAAGAGTAGGGGTACCTCTCTGAGCCTTCATGGTCTGCTCTTCGATCTGCCGCAGCCTCTCCATGAGCTCTTCCTTCTCTCGCTCTATTCTGTCCTTCTCCTTCTCGGCAAGCTCTCGCTTCTTCTTTTCATTCTCCAACTGGGCCCTGAGAACATTCATAATCAATACGCCAAGTGACTGTTTCTGTAGGGAGGCACAGGGCTTCGTCAAATGATTTGAACACATGAAGAAACGCGGGGCGTTAGGGACTAGAACTCTAGTTGACACACAGCTGCAGTCCATCTTTGATGATGGTAAAAGTTTCACTCTGGGTTTAAAATTCTTCATATAATCAATTTCAAGTTAATTTTTTTTAAAATGTTTTTATTTTTTTTTTCTTGATGGGAACATTAAACGCATTTTGTTGGGTATTTAGTCTCTTGGAGGTCATTTTTTTCAGTCTGTTCAGTGTTTTCTAAAGCGTGTTACTGACAGTGCTCCTACCTTTCCATCTGCTTGTGGTGCTTTTCCTCCCGGGCCTGGGCCTTCATCTGCTGCACTTCAATGGTGTCAGGCTTTCTTCTCCTCATGTACAACTCGTGGTTACCCATACACAACGCCAAAATACGCTTGTTGATGCGCAGTCGCGGGGCGTAAAAGACAAAGTCCTGGAAATATTGAGAGTAAAAAGTATACGTTTTCTTTTTTTTTTTTTAAAGAACTTGCATTGGTTGACGCCTCAGGCTCTCTGACGAACGTTTACTCACAGGTGCTTTTTTGTCAATAGGCTTGATCACAAACTTCTTGTCATTAAAGGAGATGTTTCTGATCTCACTCCAGGGGAAGCCGATCTTTGGCGTCAATCTGAAAGAGAGGAAACGGCAGAATTTAATTTTGAGTTTTCATACAAAGAATTACACCAACACCCACCATGGGTGGATTTAGCATTAAAAGTGGTTCAGACAATCAGGAATTACAGGCTGCTTGCTGCATTGGGATGCTTGCTTTCTCGTTTACTTCTCATGTTTCTTTGATAAGGAAAGAAAGCTGTAATCTTTGATAACGCAGATTGCTATCAAGAGGACATCCCATAAGATCAGAAATCCATTTTCCGTTTCCAAAGTGTGAAAAATAAATCCGATTCATCAGAACAGGAAATCCCCTGGAACAATAAAAAGATGGGAGTTTTCCCCTCCTTCCACCTTCTAACAATATCTGTAACTCTGCACCTTCAGGCTTAAGGTTACACCATAGATATCGTTATGACGACACACATTGACAAACCCCCACCAACTGTTACGACTGAGACATTAGGATATGAGCTTCCAGCTGATGGAGCCTCTGCAAAATTACAGCTTTATAGCTTAAAAATCTTTTTTTTTTTTTTTAATTCTTATAGTACGAGTAAATAAATTCCCAATGGATTTGCTACAGATATTCATTGGGACCAGGCTTTAAATACAGAATACAAACTGAAAACATCTTTGCATTTCCAAACTGTAATCCCTAAAAAGGACACATCTTTAATCCCAAAACCTGTAAAAATATTTTAATGAAATTCAAACTGTGATACTAGATGTGTGTTTAAGTTGTAGGCTTGTGAATCCCTTACTTGTCCTCGTGTTCATAGATGTTGAGACCCAGAGCGTCCACGCCCAGCCACAGCTGTGTGCCCTTCTTGTTTTTGATCTCAAAATAATTCACTCCGTACATTTCCAGGTCTTGGGCAATTTTTAGGTACTCCATCATTGAATCTTCTCTAAAAAAAAAAACAAAAAAAAAAATAAGAGAAAATATTTTAAAACTATTACAACTATTAGAACAAAGCATTTTCTTGTAAAGGAGAATATATTTGACTGTTTTATCAAATACAAATTGGAGAAGAAAGTTAAATCAAACCTGGCGAAATTATATGGCGTTTTGTCACATTTAATCCAGTGATATTCTAACATTAAATGACAAATCTAAGCACATAATGATAGAAACACCTGAACAGCTACCTGAGCATTCCTTTGTGCTCCTCATGCCAGGTCTGTATCCTGTCCTCCCATTGCTCCTTCGTCAGCTTGTGCTGCTCCAGAACTCTGGGGGAAACACACAGACGGTGACGTTCACCTGAAGGAATGTCAAATAGCCTAAAATTGCTTCCTCTGGAGGAAATAATACAAGCACTCCAACAGGGAATGAAAAACAGTTGATTTTCCTTTCACAACAAAAGGGGTCACTCTCTGGAGGGCTGACCTCCAGACGTCAGGCGTTACAAAACAGTCTGGACTTTTTTTTTTTTAGTTTTTATCACATGACAGTTAAAATAAAGATATCTTTATTTTATTTTGAGCAACAATGCTCTGAATTCAAATGCAAACAACACATTTCTGGATTTAAAAAAAAAAAAAAAACTTTGAAAAACAAATGTATTCTTGTCCTTCCACTTCACATTTCCGCACACCTTTGTGTTGTCTAGTCGAAAGCAGGGTCTATTGTTGTGAGCGTTCACATACCTCTGAGGCAGCAGTCTGTCATGGGTCAGGTATCCAGCCTTGTGGACGTCTTTGTTGTAGTCTCCATACTTGGCCTGGACAGCATATGAAGCCAGCAACACGGCCGTCTCTGGAGGACAGTAGTTCTCGTCGTTCAAAATGGCCTCTTTGACCTGAAAAAGAAATGAAAATGGAAAAACAAACAAACAAAAAAAAAAAAAAAAAAATCGCACATTAGAGATCCTGTGTCCAGATTTTTATTTTAAGTACGAGTGGAATTATGCAAAGGTTTACTTTTCTTTACAAAAAATAATAATAATAAAAAATTGTTTTAAATGAGCGTTTTTACCTGCAAGAAGAAGAGTCTCTGTGTGATCTCTTGGATCAGTTCCTCAGAAACGTCCTCTGGGAAGAACTTGGCCCTGAACTTGAACTGCAGAGGGTTTTCTTTTTTCACATCTTGCTGGGTCACCTGGGAAATATAACCAACATTGTGATCTATCACTGTCAGTTTGTACCAACTAAGCAAGTTGGACAAAATTACTTGACATTTTAATTCAAACACATGCAGAAATACCTTTTGCAGATTGCTAAAGTAGAAATTATCCCCCCAAAAACTGACCTTTTTATTCAGTTTTAGCCAGGTGACGTAACCTTTACTGTCCACATACTGCAGACCGAAGAACCAAACCTCCCGCAGACCTACTGTTTTCACCACCTGGAATGGAAAATAAGGAAAAACTGCGCATGTCAAACCTTCCACGGCAAAGTTTTTAAAATCCTCCTCATGATAAGTGCAGACATGGTGACATGTTTATCTACTTTAGTGAGACTCACCTGGTCAAAAAGCTGTTTTCCTGTGGTGCTGGGCTGGATGGCAAACTCCAGCTCTGCATCCATGGTGGTCACACGGACATTGATCTGCACAAAAACATAAAAACTGTCATTTACTTTGATTATACTATCAGACAGACATAGGTACAACTACCAGGATTTTCCTGGCTGATAAAGTGAATACAGCGAAGTGACCAAAAACAGGAGGAGCTCTCAATTCATTAAAAAAAACAAAAAAAACTATTTCCTGTACTTGATCTAGCATTGACACAGAAGACTCAGTCATGAGAAAATTGGCTGATTCAGATCTTTGGCCATCCGACTGCTGCATCTCTAGTCCTACTATAATGCCAAAGGCTTCATTGACTAAATGAAAATTATGCAATAATGGACTTTCTATTAACTCATCACTGCATTTGCTGATCTCCTTGAGCTCCAAAAGTAGAAATAGTACAACTTTTTGTGTGAACCCATTTATTTAATAGATCTGCTCTTATCAATCCAACAGCGTCACAAATATCCAATCTAGAGTGTTTTTTGTGTTTTGGTGAATCTCTCTTGTGTCATCCATAGTTTAGTCCTGAATTTCAAAGCGAAAAACTTTCCTTTACCAAAGTAAAGCAAACTCCTCAAAGATCCTCAAAATATATGTGGAATACAACATATCAAATGACAAAAAAAATATATATATATATCAATTCCTGCACTGCTGGAATTGTAAAGGAACTTTAATGGAATATGCAGCAGAAAATTTATATTTTAGCCGTCACGCATTCATGTTGTGGGATGAAAGTGTCGAGGGCAGTTGAAGGGTTGTAGCGGCTGTCTGGGGTCTATTGGCATACCACGGCAGTACAAACATATTAAGTCGCTTCCATCATACAGACCAAGCACAGCATTGTGAGAAAGACCAATTCTTCAAGCCTGCTGCTTACAGGCCTCTGCTGGGTGGAGCAGACGCTAAAAGACAGCCATTGGCTGTGGCTCCCTAAGCTGCACTGGCAGCAGGCCGAGCAGCAGCTGATGACAAAGAGCGAGGAGGGCTGACCTCAGAGGCATCTCACATCCTTCCTCTCACACCTACGTGCACGCAGCAGCACAGCACATGAGCTCAGTGGCGGTTTGCAGCACATGATGAGAAGCGGGAAGGCACTTAGCAGGGCGGATGGTGACAAGCAAGTAGGGCAGGGTGCAAACGCCAAGCGCAAGAAAACGAAATGACATTGTGAACGAGGCAGAGCGCAACAGGAAGTACGAGAGGAGATCTGGGGAAACCGTGATGAAATTACAGTAAGAGAACTTAAGAACCAAAAAAAAAAAAAAAAAGCTGAGGAGACGATTTTCTCCTTTTTCTGCTTAGCAATTATACACAAAACATCAGGAATGATTGTTTTGGATTCCTCTGCTCTAATTTTAATCAATTTTTCTGCCATCATTCCTCTCTCGTGGTTTCTCTCAGCGTCGTCCCAAGTATGAATAACCCAGGAAACCTGAGAAAACGCTGAACTTAAACCTCGTGACTCCCACTGAGTACATGTGAAAAGCTGGAGCATGCCTGAGACAGGAGTCAGAACTGAACACGCACTCATCTCTGTTTTTAAGTTGTGACACTCTGGTGTTTGTGCGCCGCGTTTGCGGTGAAGCATGGAGTGGGACGCTGCCAAAATATTGGAAACCAATATGCTGAGGAAGAGGAATCTCGTCTGGAGCAGACAGTCAGTTAATCCCTTCGCTTGCAGACAGAGGGGGAGGAGATGAGCGGCAGCAACATGCTGGGGCTTTGACGCCGCTAATCAAACAAAGCAACAACTGCGATGTCTTCGAGAACTGACTTTTGCAAGTCCATTTGTTAGAGATATAATACAATTAAAGTTATTATTTGTGTGAAATTAGACTATCATCAATTGTCTGTTAGCTTGTTCCACACCAAACAAAGTTGCAGTTAGTGCGACATGGGAGTTCCTGAACGTGATGCACAGTCTGATCGGAAATAGATGAGATCTTTGAGTTTCCAACCAGCTGGTCACTGATTGGGCCCGTTGAGGCGTCTCTACCGATAAAGCACACGCAGTAAAAGTAGACAACACATGGAAAGAGACCGGCACACTGGTTAGGAACAGCAGATGACCACCTCAGTCACACAGACAACAGGAAAAACGTGACAAAAGCATTAAGTGGCTTCACCCTGATGGGTAAATCCTCAGCCAGTCAAAGAACTTTCAACCAGCTTTATTTACTTCTTTTGCCTTTTTAAAAAAACAAAAAACATTTTCTCCACATCCTCTTCCGCGGTGCTAATCTTACTCAACTTTAGCCTTCTTTAAAGATTTGTGCAGCATCATTACCGGTGTGCGGTCAATTTATGAGATTCTCGCTCTCCATTTCAGCGGCAGAGCTCAGTTCTCACTGTGATTTGGCCATTGTTAAACATGCAGCTGTTTAGTCACCGTAAGCTGTTTACAGAGGCTTTGCCGAGAGCGGTCTTAAAGCAAACCCACGCCGACTGCAGCCAGTACAGAGCTGCTAATCTGAGCTGCCAGGCTCAGAGCAACTGTCTGTCCCTCTGATTAACCTCCCAGCACACCGAGGGAATCCTCCCACACGGGGAGGGGAGGCCAGAAAGGCCGAAAACTGTTCATTAGAGAGCAGGGTTGTCAGTTTACAGATACGTTCTGAAAACCTGGACGGGATCTTTACGTTGTGAAGCTCGGCCTTCCTCGACAGCCGCTTGGTTGCCTGGTGATCTGTCTGCGAGCTGCACTTTTACTTCCACAGAACCAGGATGTTGACTTAAACTGGGCCCCAAAAAGTACACAGCCCCCCCCCCCTCTCTCTCTCTCACACACACACACACACACACACACACACACACACTTCAGCAAATAGCCTCAAGTAAGAAATCAGAAAGTCTTCTTTACCAAACGGTTTCCAAGCTGAGGGAGTAAAATGTTAATACAAATGAACTCAAATATTTGTTTAAAGCAGAAACCAAAGACTAGAGATGGACCAATCAATCACCCATATATTGGAATCAATCAATCTGGTGGTTCTCGTGTTAAAGACTGAAATCTGTTTTTATTTCTCCTGCTTTTTGATCAAATGCATGAACCAGAACATAAAAATACGCTTTCATTACGACCCTCCCCAACCTAGTCTAGCTACAATACAAATGTCCGTTCTGTTTGATTAACTGGGTTAATCTAAAACACTGATATGGAAATGTGAGCTTTGCTTCTGAAGGTTCACAGGTTTGTGGTGAAGTTTTTTTAAATTTTAAACTTCTGTCACTCAAAAACTCAAACTTTACTTCGATATGAATTTCTTACTTTTGGTTAAGTCTGACCAGCCACTTCCCTTTTTTCCCCTCTCGTTCTTCCACAGACTACACTGCATAAAGAAGAGCGGCAATGTGTTTGATAGAGGATGTTTAAAAGGGGAATTACAAGATTTTTGTATCAAATAACGTTCCCTCGTACATATCTGATTTTTATTAAGCTAAAAAAAAAAAAGCGCCAACCTGTACTCCTGATGTATTCAATTAAAAAAAAAAAACCCAACAACTGATTTCATGCGGAAAAATTGCCCGATTCAAATCAATCTGATTGATTGGTGCATTCGTAAACAATTAGTTTCACATCCAGACATGAGAGGCACTTTAGAAAATCCAGAGATAGCTGGTAGCTATACAAAGCCACCAGATTTCTCTCTATGACCAGGCATTGATCCTAGCAGAGCAGCAGGTTGTTTACTGAACGATGAGAAGAGGAAGTGAGGGAGGAAATCAGTGCTCGGCTGTTCCTCTTTAAATCTCCCTGAAGCCCAAGCCACCTCCTACCATCCAAGAGCAGGGAGGCGCCTCACTTACAGCGCGCTTCAAATTCAGCCAGTTTGTATTTTGCAGCTTCCTAATTACAAGTCATATTTTTATTTTTCCAAAATACAGATGAAGCCTCTTTTAATGATAGAGTGTTGTCCTCTGCTGTAAAGAATTTAAAAATAAAAAAAAAAGTATAAATTTGAGTTAAAAGGTTGAGTTACAAAACTGTAAGAAGCAACTTTGCTCGCGAGCAGAAGAAAAACTTAGCCAGAACGAGACAAATGTGGAATAACTCGTTTAAAATAGCCAGGTTGATCAGCGCCAAAGGAGTGTGAGAACAAGGATCGCCAAGTCTAATTTGGATAAAGAGGCTCGACTGTGGAAAGCAGACACCCATGACAAGACTGCATCAAATTGGTTTTGTTTTGGCGCTGTTCACATCCTTGGACTGAGGCATTCTCTTTTTACCCTTTTCAACAACAATGGGTGCAGTGTTGCTGCTGCAGGCCCAGTGGGCTTGGCACTCTGCAAGACAGTATGGCTGTTGTTTACTTGGAAGAAGTGCATGAGGAGTGGAAGGAAGCAGGACGGCGAATGTACCACTTCCACGACTCTTCGCGTTTATCTTTAAGTAAATAGGTTTTGAACACAACAGGGAGACTATTTGCACAACTAACGCATGCAGGAATGACGCATAAATTACTCCATCTTACCGGTTTAGGCATGTTTGCTTCCTCTCCACCTTTCGCCCAACAGCTGAGAGGATAAATCCGTCAGCGGACGGAAGTGAGACCTAAAATTTAAAGAACATTTTTAAAAAAAACAAAGCAAACAAACAAAAAAACAAGTCATTTGGCAATGGATGAGTTCAGGGACAGTTAATACATTCAATTTTCACACCAGAGTCCAGAATCTCCCAGCCAAGTCTTGATAGAAGTATTGAAAGTTGCAAATAAAACAAGAGGAACTTTATGTGAAGTCAGGAGGGAAAAGGATGAAAACAAATACTTTCCCCATCTCTTTCGATGACAACACAAAACAAAGAGGTGCTTGTGCGGTGAATGCCACCATGTTCGCTTAAAGATACATAAGTGGAAATGGAAATAGTCAGAAGGGAACTGAATTGCAGCTAAGCCATTATGTACTTATTTAAGGGGGGAATACAGTCATTTATATGATAAATTCTGTGTCAAAAAAACAAACAAACTAAAAATCATTAAAACTTGTATGCATTTATATTCTGTCCCCAATTTAATACAGCTGAAAGTCTTTTGGGGCGTGTCTTTGCACATTTACTGACATTTCTGTCTTTCCTTCTTCATAAAATAGATTATATAAAGAGCAGCTTTAGCACATATTCTCAATGGGACTTGGATTTGTTCATAGAATAAGCAATTTAAACACAAGAACATGCTTTGATTTAATCAAACTGTAGCTGTGCCTGTAAGTTGAAGGCAGGCGTTTTCCTCCCCAGTCTTATTTGCATCCTCAAACCATTTCCATTTCCTTCTACGTTGTCGTATAAAGTCATTGCTCCTTGGTTTTAGATGAGCTATCCCAGCTTCCTAAGCGCTCGGCCAGACTGAGATTTAAAGAGGCAAAAGAAAATGAGGTGGATTAGCAGTGCTTGCCAACAACTGATGGCGTCACCCAGGACATGTTACTGCGGAATACAGTCTCTGCTGCCCAGATATTGAGCTGCTAGCATGCCAGGATAGTCGAGTACAGCAACAGTCTTCAGTCAGAGGTTTCTTCCAATTGGTTGCAAGACTGACTGCTACCAGACAGCATCACCGCCTACAAGTATTTGAAGAAACTTAGATGGTACGAGTTAAGACATTTCCCTTTTAGATACTTCTTGGACTTGCACTTTATTTTGGGCAGCTTAATGTTATAATTTTACCATAAAAGTGTCTAACTTATTAAAAATTAAAATTTAATCCGATTGATTGAAACAGTGCGGATTTTTTTTTACAACTGGGGCGTTTGAAGGCCAACATGTCTCGTTTAATCAGCTAGCTCACCTATTTACCCGCCGATTTGGCTTCCGTTTAAACTGAAATGTAACCACAACTTCATCAAACAGCGGCGAGACAACTGTTGCTCCGCTCGTAAAACACACTAGCATCAGACAGACGCCAACAATACTTTCAATGTTTGAGAGAAACAAACAGCATCTTCTTTTTGAGTTTCTAACTACAGCACGTCAATTTCTATCCGTGTAAATATACATTCTTTAGAAGGGAGCCGTTGAAATCTGACATTTTCATGCTAGTGGGTGTAGTCCGCATAACGGGACGAGCCTAGCCGAGGCTGTGAAGTTTTGCTTCTTGGTAATTCCCTAAATTTACCAACATAATTCAGAAAGTCGTTGAGAAAGGGCTAATAAAACCATGTTTTCTGAGAGTTTGTTCAGTTTAATGTACACAATCCGGTTTAAATCTATATTTGTGAGACGCCAACGGCGCGAGCACGAGGACATCCGCTAGTAGCGCATCAAAGTTGAAGAGAAGCTCATCTTTTTTTAAGGGAGAGGCAAACTCACCGGGGGTCGACGTGTCTTCCTCAAAATTCAAAGGAACAAGCTGAGCTGCAACCAATTGATCACAACGATAATTGAATGCCGATTCCCGTTTTTAAGTCTCTTACACTCAATCACCTACAGACATGAGAAAAGCGTTTAAGTCTAAACAACCGTAAGGCGATTTGGGGTGTCCGCGTCAATGTGCACGTAATAAAATACCGTATGTTCCGGTTGAAGCTTACAAAATAAAAGCCTAATTCGGGAAGGTTTGAAGAGGGAAGCAGTAGACCTTAAAACATTTCGGGTTCTAAAGGTTTTCCCCATAGATATAAGTCAAATTTTCCATATACTAAACAGGAATGCCACATCAAAGCTGAATACTAATGTTCTGAGTTCAAATTGGAAGTTGAAACATTTTATTTTGTAAATTCTATTTTATTTTGAAGCACAATTCCAACATTTCCGACCAAATCTTGGGTTCTTATTACAAACTTGACACGCTTTTATATATAGGGATGTTCAATATGGCTGTCAGGCAAGGCAGGGATGCAAC